TGTTCATCGGAATTTTGTAATAAATATTTCTTCAATCTTTTTTATATGATTATTATTTACTTATTAACATATCACATACATAAAACTGATAAAATTTAGCACGATAAGAATATATTAGTACATGATGGTAGAATGATTATTACAGACTTTGGTTTATCAGAGTCATTATGTAACAACACAAAATCTGTAACAAGTAGAATACATGGAAGATGGGAATATTATGATCCACAATACCTCAAAAGTCCGCTCACATATAAATGGAACAAGTATTCAGATATCTATAGTCTTGGTGTTCTTTTTTGGGAACTTTTGAGTGGCAAACCTCCTTTTAGAGCTTTGGAAGAATATCATGTAATCGAAGGCGATCGAGAACCTCCAATTAAAGGAACTCCGATTAATTTCGAAAATCTTTATTGTGCTGCTTGGAATGGTAAACAAGATAGTCGTCCTGACATCAAAAAAATATGCAAAAAGTTATTAAATATTCAAGTAGAACAATTTTTTAAAGATGAAACATTTTTAAATTTCGAATATGCTTCTTTTGATAACCCGGCAAAAATCAGTGAAGGAGGATTTGGAGTTATATATAAGGCTTATTTCAAAGATATAAAACAAATAGTGGTCTTGAAGGCTTTAGATCATGATGACGAAGACGATTTTATTAGAGAAGTATGTATTACTTTATTGTTACAGTACATCCTTTTCATGTTGCAATCATAATCCTTATGTTTTAATACTACAAATTACAAGGTTAACTTGGTTAACTTCACTACTAAACTTAATTATGATAATATTATACAATTTTTTGGAATTACTCAAGGCATGTTAATTTTTATAAAATGGATAAACTTATATTCTTAAATATCAAATCATTGAGAAGTCTCTTAAAATTCATCACTTAGATCCTCAAAAAGAGACATATTATATGGTTCTTCAGTACGCAAACAGTGGAGATCTTCAATGTTATTTGAATTATCACTTTTCAAAATTAGATTGGCCAACTAAAATTAGGATGGCAAAAGAAATTTCTAGTGGGATTAATTATTTACATAGTGCTAATATTATTCATCGGGATCTTGTAAAAGACTTTTCTTCCTTTCTTTTACAGTCACACTCCCATATAATCGCACCATCAGGACTCACAAAAAGTGTTCTTATATAGAAAATGTGCTAATATATGAAACTGTTTTTATGTATTTAATAGTAGTTGGTTCAAAAAATTAATGTGCTTATATAGGTGATGTGATATGTTAATAAGTAAATAATAATCATATAAAAAAGATTGAAGAAATATTTATTACAAAATTCCGATGAACA